GAATTCCAGTGTGGTACCCAACTTTTTTTTGCCACTCTTCGGCAGCCGGGTATAGCAATTTCTTGTGATCCTCTAGCATGCGCTCGAACTTGATCTTCTCCTTATCACTTTCGCATTCTCTTTGTGCATCTTGGATGGCCTGACCAAGATCATCATCGGGCTCATCTTCTGCCGCTACCTCTTCTTCAACAGCTACCTCTTCTTCAGCTTCCCCCATTGCAGTATCATCAAAGGCACGGTATTCAGCAAAACCATGAATAATCATGTTGTCATCATCCCCTTCTTCTTCATCTCCTTCCATTATAACACATCTTTCTTCGTGCTTAGTCCAACAAATATAGTTTGGCATGAAACCCGACGTAAATAGGTGTTCGTGAATTTTCCTTGAGTAAGAATAATCCTTCTCATTCTTACATAGAACACATGGGTAGCACATGAAACCATTCCGCATGTTTGCCTTGGCCACATTTAAGAAATCATACACGCCCCTCATGAACTCTGGAAGTGGCGGTCAGCGTTGTACATCCATTGCTGGTTCATCTGCATTACGTACATGACGTACACCATATCAAAAACTTATAATAACTCATATTATACAATATGCATGGTTAGTAGTTAATTAAAGGATCCAAAATATCCATCAATCAACATGATTAATTAATATCCTATACCACATAGCTGTTTCACATACTCTCGAACATTAATTTATTAAAGCCTTGATACAATGTAGACAATCACAAATAGCACAAAATAAACTAAACCTACAATGCACTTCAGCAGAATAAGGATTTCACGACCAATTCCAACTAAAACAAACAGATCATTCTTCTGCTGGTTCACTGTCTCATCATACACAGGTGCACTCTCATCAGCCGCCTCAATCTCCTTTGCAAGAGATTTTTGGTCGTGCTCAACGTACTTTTCCTCCTAGCACCAACCATCACATGATCCAGTGCCATCCCACTGAAATTACAACAACAAATCATGAACTTTAATCAAAATCATCACGAAAAATGGCTACAAACCATAGCAAAACATGACAAAAAATTACTCACTTCGTAATCCGGACACGTGTAGAAGATGTGCCCTTGGTTGGGACCCTTCTTCATCCTGTACTCCCTCACAATCTTTTGCCCACACTTGCCGCACGCAATGAGAGGGAGGTCTAGCCTCACTCGCGTAGGGACCCCATGTGAGGCCGAGGACCTAGAAGCAGTCGCCACCTATGATTCTCTATACTCATTTTCATCAACTACTATAAGTTTCTCATTTTGTAAACCATGAAATTAAATGAGCTATATACTAAAAAATACCTTTTATTTCTCAATTTACTAAACCATGCATGAAATGAGGCAATGAAAGGTGCATACTAATTTTGATGAGCTACTATAAGGTTCCTTCATCTACATATGTAAACTATCAAGTGATTTTGAGCTCAAATACCATATAAATAAAAAATATCCATCATTATTCCCAATCTAGAAAACCAAAAAAAATTCTATTTCTAAACCATAAAACGAGGCAATAAAAGGTGCATACTAGTTTTGATGAACTACTATAAGCTTCCTTCATCTTCATATTCAAACTATCAAGTGATTTCGAGAGCTCAAATGGTATATAAATAATAATAAAATCCACCATCATTCTTAATTAAAAACCACAAATTTTTCTATTTCTAGACCAAGAAATGAGCCATGCTAGTAATGAAACATGGGAGGATGAAGTTGGTAATCTTTAGAACCAAAGAATGGATGGAGGAATGAAGTCTTCACCAATCCATGAGCATGAACTCCTTCCACGAGCAAGAACAGAGAGCAGGCAGAGAGTTTAAAATGGCTTGGGCTGGGGAGGAAGAAGGAGAAAGTATATTGCCTGAAACATGTAGTCCTGATTTGTGGTATAAACCCGGACTACAGGTAGCGTTTTAGTCTCGGTTAGAGCCACCAACCGGGATTAAATGTTTAGTCACTACTGGTAGCTTCAAGCGGATCGAGGGTGACCTTTAGTCCCGGTTTGAACCACGAACCGGAACTAAAGGCCTCTTCTTATACCCCTCCTGCAAAGCTACGCCTCTAGCAGGGACTTTAATCCCGGTTGGTTGCTCCAACCGGGACTAGTCCTGCCTTTAGTCCCAGGCCCCGCCTAAAATCAAAAGTATGTTCTCTCTTGGTGATGGCAATTAAGTTAGCCAGGATTCACTGCCTCAACACATTTGCCTGAAACTTGCTCTCTTTTATTTTTGAACATAGAATTCTAGTCTTCCTTGTATACTCTCGTGGGCATAATGAAGAAAGTAGACCAAAGACGAAGAAAAAACCTCCAAGGTCAAGATGGCACCGCCGATAGAGCCCAGCATGCAAGCAGGCTGAGTGTCTCAAGCAAATCCGATCTTCGTCGTGCTTCCTCTGTCCATCCATTCTGTTAGTCGGTTTGCTACTCAAGAGAAAGAGATGCAAATTTGGCAAGTGGAACTGCAAGACAAAGTTTAAGAAGCTACTTTGTCAGTGGTAGGTGTTTAGAAAGAATGAAATAAGAAAATCTTTTAATATAAGATCGTATGAGACTTAAGGTTGCTGTGCAAGTTGATGCTTGCATCATCGTTGGTTTTTAGTTGTGCTTTGGGCAATTTTTCAGTTTTTTTTTCTATGAGTTTGTGTTGTGCAAGTCCTTACTCAACTCGCTCTGTTGTTGAGCGAATTGTTTGTTCGCCTGCGTTGTCATCTTTTTCGTTTCTACTGGATGGCTCTCTCTATTATAACACGTGTTAGTTGTTTGGAGCTTTTGTCGATACATTCTTTTCGTTGTATTCTAGTTTCTTTTGGAGGCAGTTTGGCATATATCCTCTAAAAAGATTAAGCCACACCTTATTTTATTTTCTCTCTCTAACAAGTTTTATGGCAAAAGTGTTCATGACTAATGAAGCTCCGGTTTCCCTAAAAAAAGTGCTGGTCTATGTGATATTTTTCATTAACTTCCAAAAAAGTAGAGTTCACGTTATTCACTCTAGCTATAAAAGAGTTTGCCCATGTTAGGATTTGACCTGATCAAACGTCGATCGGGTCAAGTTCGAAAGTTAGACTAGAAAAAAATGATCGGGTCAAAAAATTTACGCAATCCCTGACCCAACGCATTGGCAAGTCGGGTTGGGCCATTTCTTGGTTTTTACGCACTTTGGGTCGAGTCAGGTTGGGTCAGGCCATGGGTCGAGAATCTAGGGCCTAACCCAACCCGACGTGTTGGCGGGTCAGACGGGTCGGATTGAATTTTTCTGGACGGGTCAGATTGGGTTTGTTAGAGTTAGGTGGTCCATGAACTTATCTAGTAGGAGTAAAAACGAATCTAATTATATAGCCGCATGGTTTAAGAAAAAATATGTATAAATATGAGTACAACTGTCTAAAACAACTAACTGAAAATCTGAGTACAACTGCCAGACGCTGGTTGTTAGTGGGAGTCTCAAGACAGAACTGAGGAACATGCCACCACAGTCGCTGTGGTCTTCCTAAGGATGTCAGCAGGCGAGGTTCGGATCGGGTAGAGTGTCTCGGATACCCAAAATCGAAACCCCGAACTTAAAACCCAAATCCGTCCCGAACACCGATTCGGGTTAAAATCCATCTCCTCAAACCAAAACCCGTGGATCCCCAAACCCGACGGATAATCCAAAACCCAAAAAATACAACAAAACAACGAATAAAGAATACAAAATATGATAAATTAGCAAAACAGATTGTAGATAACAAGATGTAACCATGAAAGTACTAGCAGGCAGCAGCTACAAATGTATAGAATATGTATAGAATAAATTAGCTAGCCATGTACAGAATAAATTAGCAAGCAACAAAATGTAGCTAGCCATGTACAAGATCAATTAGCAAGCAGCAAAGGCAAGCAATTAGCCAGGCAAGTAGGCACTGCTGCGCCTCCGACACCGCCCCACTGGTGCGCCCTGCGCCACGAAGCTGCCCACGGCCCCCGATGGAGCACGCCAGACGCACGCTGCCGCTAAGTGGGCAAGCGTGGCCCATTCTTCTTCTGATCTTGCCTTCTTCTTGACGGCGGGCAATGGCCAAAGCGGCAAGGCGTCGAGACTACCGTCGGTGGGTGCTGGTGTGGGTCGAGCCTCGAGCACGGAGCACCGGGTGAACACGGATCCACGGTTCCACACCGAGAGGAAGAGGTCGAGGCTCCACCGCTCGAGCTCGAGGCGCCCTCCATGCTGCCAGCAAGGCCCTGACTCACGATCGCCTCGAGCGGTGGCCGGGTCTGGGTGACCGGGTGAGGGCGAGGGAGAGGATTTCAGCTTATATGCTAGGGTTGTTGATGAGCTGCTAGTGGGCCAAATTATTTCAGGGCTCCGATGGTGATCCGCGGGTGAAACTGAAAACCCGCCCCAAACCCTCTAACTTTTGGGTATCTGAACCCAAAAAACCGTGGGCGAGAACCAGACACCAAAATTGAAACCGCCAGACCTGAAAACCATGGATATCCGACCCGAACCCGCACCACTGCCATCCTTAGGTCTTCCTCGGAGGCAGGATGGGGAGATTAGAAGTGACCAGATCCCAGATCACAGCTGTAGTCCCTAACGATTCATCAGCCCAACAGATTATATCCATACGGGTCTACCAGCCCATGATACACAGTACAAATTCATGGCCCAAATCAATCCTTTTTTTTTATCCATCTTCCGTTGTCGAGATTGAATTGGAAGGACTTGCGATAGCCCGGCAAGGCTGTTGCACTTGCAATGGACAACTTTCTATAGAAGCTCCTTGCCTATCTTCACAGAAAAGCCCACGGATTACACACAAGACTCAATTATAAATTTGTTATTATTGTCAAAGCCCAAGGCCCATATAATTTATCTAGATCCCGTTTCGATATTAATCGGATAGCTAAGCTACCTGAAGACGCTGAAATCGTGGCTCGTGGGCAATCCATCTTCTAGCTCCCAGGAGCTCTGCTATCCTTGCACAGAGTCCAGGCCTCGCGCTTCCATGGCTCTCCTCCGACTCCAAGAGCAGTGCTCGCTCCTCCGAATCTCCAGCTCCCACCACCCAAATCCTCTCGATGCCCCAAGAAATCCTCGCAAGAACCAGCTTTTACTGCCCAATGCGGCCAAGACTTCCAACGCCTCCGAAATCCCGGTTCCTCGCATCCCCACCAGCGCTTCCAAGGCCGCAGTCCTGGCGCCGAAGGCGGCGCTTTGCCTGGACGCCCTTGTCCCCGTTACCGCCGCCCTCGCGTCCTGGCCTCTCCCTTCCCTTGCGGCGGAGGGCGACGGGAAAGTGAGCCTCGAGTCCATCGTGGTGGCAATCGACGACTTCAACAACCGCAACCCTTTCTTCGTGGCTGGGGTCGTGTTCGTGTGGCTAGTGGTGATCCCGCTCGTGCAGGAGTACGTCTTCAAGAAGTACAAGCCCGTGAGCGCCATCGATGCGTTCCGCAAGCTACGCGACGTGCCGGAGGCGCAGCTGCTGGACATCAGGCGGGGCAAGAGCGTGCGGTTCATGGCGCCACCGAACCTGAAGCTTGTCGACAAGAGCACCGTGCAGGTGGAGTTCGACGAGGAGGACGACAAGGGGTTTGTCAAGGAGGTGCTGGCGAGGTTTCCAGACCCGGCGAACACCGTCGTCTGCGTCCTTGACAAGTGAGTGCTACATGGAAAATTGATTGAATTATATTTTACCTAAAGTACCAGATGCAGTGTCTTATGTTTCTGTAGATTGAATGGGTTTCGCCTCAAATGCAACTGCACAATATCTAGGGCGATAATAAATGTGTCTACCACAGTTGAGCCGCAATTTGCAAAAGATTAGTGTACATACTGTTAGATGTGTACTCTAAGGTGTACACCTTCTAGTAAATAAAATGCATATAGTTGTGTCCTGTGTAAACTAAATGGCTCTTTGATTTTACACTCAATTGTGCAAAATTCTTGGTAAATACAAGTGATTGATGTGTACATTCTCAGGAACAATGAAGAATTCCTCGGGAACACCACTAAGTCACAATTTGTAATTTCACTGTTTCTGATGCAGGGAACTTAAACATTGGGAGGGAGATTTGTTATTGGCTTTTCTATCCAATCAGTTTCTAATTTACATATGATTAAAATATATATAAATCTTGAAGAAATATTATTCTCCTTTAAAAAATCAGCCTAACCAAAATGGATGCCATGTAACTTTTCACCTCTCTGGGTTTTTTACCTCAACAAGATTAATGAAAGCTTTCGTTTAGATTTGGTATATGTTTACTTCATGCCAAAGCAATTATATTTAAGAGTACTATATATTTAACTTCCTTCAGAACCTTTGGTCTCTTGACTTGCTGCCATCCAGTAGCACTTGACAACTTTTCTCCTCCACATTACCAACTTAAATTTATGCTGTGTAAGGTAGCTTTGATGGTAATTCTTTGAAAGTTGCTGAGCTACTGGTGGAGAATGGTTTTAAGGAAGCCTATGCAATTAAAGGGGCTTGAGAGGCCCAGAAGGGTGGCAGGTAAGGTATCATTCTATTGTGTGAGGAATAGCAATTCATTTTGTTTTCCTTTCTAAGTCTTTTCGTCTCCATTAGGCGGTTCAAGAAAATTATCTTCCCCATCTGTTCATGTTTTCCCCGAGGAAAAAAAGGGTGCAAAGTTAGCTCACACAGATGCAAGCAATGATGGAACATACGGTCAGCAGCAGGGAAGCGAGGAATCATCTGCTCCTCCAAGCAGGTTTGTAGTCAATACAGGCGATGAATCCAAAGATGTTTATGAAAATTCCAATGGTAGTACAACTGCTGCAAAACATGCAACTAGGAGACCATTATCGCCATATCCAAATGTATGATTCTTTTTGCCTTTTCACCACCACACTCAAAATTAACATGCTTATTCTATATTTTTCTTCATACATCCAATTGGTTACCATTTATTATATGATTTGAAATGGCACCAGTATTCACACACGTCTTACTGCTTTTCTTTTGTACTGACAGTGAACTCCATTAAGAAATTATGTTATCTCCAGCTATCACACTTATAGCAATGCCAGACCTACTAAGCAATAGTTGACTCAAATCCATCTAAAACGATAAATAATTTGGGAAGAGCTCGCCACTGCTTTTGCATTTGGTATGCTTCTAGGCTAGAGTTATGACTATATTAGTTATTTTTAGAGCTTTATATGAATATTTAGTAAGAAAGTAGATCATGTTAATGATAGCACGGCCGATTTTTTTTTAAGATAATGAAGAGACTTCCGGGAAGAACTGGCCATGGCTTTTATATTTGGTATATGCCTCTAGACTAGAGTTATGACTATATTATTTCTTTTTAAAGCTTTATATGTGAATACTTGAGGAAGGAATTAGATCATGGTAATCACAACATGAGCTATATTTTTTAAGATAATGGAAAGAGTTCCAGCTTCAACCTATTCATAGAAGAGACATCATACAACAACTATTACAAATTTGTAGCCCTAGCCCAAGCTACCACAACCAAATCCACATCCTAACTCAAGAGTTAAGACCTCAAATTATTGACGTATCTACAGGCTTAACTGAAGACAGCACAAGGCATATTTTGAGCGAATCATTAAAGCTCAAATTTATGTTTACCTGAAAGTTAGATAATGACACTTTGAAGACACATAAATGGCTTGACTCAGGTCCACAGAAATTACTAACAGGCAAGGACAGGGAATTCCAGTGCAAATGCTATTTGCTGACATAAAGTAGAGACATGACAGACTGCCCTTTAGATATCTACACTCATTTATATCCTTTGTTTCTTCAGTCTTTATGATGCAAACTGACCAGCGACCACAAAAACTATTATACACTGTACAAGCTGTTACAAACCTTTGAGTTTATTGTGCAGTACCCTGACTTGAAGCCCCCATCATCTCCAACACCATCAAAACCAACGAAGTAAGAGTAATGCAGGACAATAACATGTGTGAAACTCGAAAGGTCAGAAGCAGTCGTTTCGTGCACAAACATTTTTGTATACTTCTAACCGTGGATGTCGAGGAGATTGATTGGAATGACATGGAAGATGACCAATAGTGGTGTTTGGAGCTCTTGCTGCTATTGAGGCCATGGTGAATTCTTAGTTGTGTAATTGTTAAGCTTGTACCCGTTTGTTGTACTATTAATTGGTTTGTAAGTGGGGCAAAATGACATTTTGTACCTGACGATACATTTTGTGGTGCCATAGCGTTCTCAATTTGACAATTGTGGTTAACTCTATTTTATTATCACTGGTTCAGACATCATATAGGTCGCAGCAGTACTATTGTAACAGAGCTTCAGTTCATGCACTCTGCGTACATACTGAGGTTTTAACATCGTCAAACTAGTAGATATTATTTTGCCTAAAAAAGGAGTTGATATTTCTTTTTCAGCAAAGACCGTTTCCAGCCTGGCTTATATTGAAAGCTTAAAAGTGGTTTACATTGGGGATACCAGTTTGAGCGACAGCATTAATCCAACAAAGCGAAACAACCATCTAAACGCTACTGGCTCAATGCAGTTCTACCAGCCACCAAACTACATCGACTTAACGAATGCAGTTCTAAAAGCTTAAAAGTTTTGGTTTTTTTTTTTTTTTAGATACGTAGCTTTTTCTATGTATTTAAATATACATTATATCTAAATATCTAAATACATAGTAAAATCAATATATCTGAAAAAAAACAAAATGCCTTATAATTTAGAATAGATGGAGTAAATCATAAGATATCTCACTTTTATGCACATTTGTACAATAAACATTTGATTCATCCTTGTCGATCATACCATCCACGTTAGCAAACTTGATTCACCGTCTTTAGAAGAAAGGGAAGGGTTTAGAACCGGTACACAAGTTCCTTGAATCATCTTTAGAAGAAAGAGAAGGGTTTAGAACCGGTACAGCACACAAGTTGCTTGATTCATCTTTGAAGAATCGGGTAACCGATTCACCTCTGATAAACTGGACACAATTTCAAAATCATGTTCAATAAAGGCACCTTCCCTTATGTACACGATAGCCCAGTGGCTACACGCATGTAGTTATGTTGCTAGCGTCCAGACGTCCGATCCGGAATGCTAGCGTGCTGGACGGTGCCCGCGACGACGCGGCGAGCGAGCATCCAAGCAGCGTTGGACTTGCGAGACAAGCGCCCTAGCAGCGCTCCAGCGCCGCCAGACAATAAGTCTTGGGGACCGCTCGTGCCCCTCTCGCTTCCCATGCGCATCCCATGTGCAACACCCCGATCTATTTTTGAAATATTCACATGCAACATTTTCAACATACAAAAAAAGAAATAAAACATTTAAAACATGTGTCCGAAACACTTGCAAAAACACTTGAAATGCACCTGAAAACCATTGCAAACATACGCAAATCTAGATAAAACACTTGCAACATATGTGTGTAACATATGCAACATCTCGATAAACAAACTTGCAACATACGTCTGAAAAACAGATAAAACATTAGGAACAGACGCTTGCAACGTACGTGTACAACCACTTGAGCATATGCAACATCCCCCTCTAGTTTTGCAATATTCGTATAAAACACCTAAAACATACATCTGAAACAACTAAAACATAGGGTTACAACTTGCAACATGTCTGAAAACACCTAAAACACTTGAAACATATCGTCAATTCGTGCGACCATGGCCTACACGGTGGGGAAACTACGGTGGCGTAGGGCCTCCCTTCGCGTCTTAATTTGAGGCGAGGTAGATAGCGGCGCATGCCTCCCCTGCCTCCCTTTCCGACAAAGCGAGGTGGATGGGGCGCGGCGATGGATGGTGGCACAAGCACGCAGCGCAGCCTTGAGCAGCGCAGAAGAAACTAGGTGCAAAGTGCCGCCAGCTAGAGAAGGCATGACGGGCGCCTGTGTTGGAGAAAGCGAAAGGCGCTATTTTTTTCGTGGTCAGAAAGCACTGAAGCGCATTGAGCGGAGCGGGGTGAGCGGCGTCTGCTTCCCAATATTACTAAAAATGTTGTTCAAACATGCTAAGAATTCAATCGAAATTCAAATAAACAAAAAGCTTCGAATTCGAATAAGACAAAAAAAAAAAAACATGCTAAAAATTCAACGAATAAAACAAAAAATAAACAAAACTTTCAATCGAAATAATAAAACAAAAAAAGAAACAAAAATTTGAATAAACAAAAAGCTTGAATTCAATAAAACAAAAAAAGAAATATGCTAAAAATTCAATGAATAACACAAAAAATAAACAAAACTGTGAATTGAAATAATAAAACAAAAAAGAAACAAAAATAGAACAAAAAAAAACAAAAATAGATGGCCCATGCAGGTCTCAACCTGCGACCTTAGCATTATTAGCACCACGCTATAACCGAATTTTTAATTTCAACACTTTTTTTCAAACTAATTTTAAATCTAACACTCTCATGTTTTTTTAACTAACACTTTTAGCCGCGCCCTCTGCCCCCTGCCAAAATGCTGTCTTGCGCGCCATGCATGGTGGCCGCGGCAGAGGGCTGAATGTGGGCGACGACTGCCCGCGATCACGACGGCGTGGTTGAGCTCTGCCGCGCCACCGATCTTGGCGCTGCGATGTCGCCACTCGATCCATGGCGCGCAGTAGAGCCGGTATAACCTCCGCCCATGAGTCCTGCTGCCCGGCGCA